CGCAAGTGCAACAGCTAGTCACCTAACTAAGCAGAGAGACAAGAAAAATCTCCGGCCTGATTAGCTAGCTAGTTAGCTGCCTTAACTTAACTAGCTAGCGACAGGTCCTTGCTGGGGGGGAAGCCCGTCTCCAGCGAACGGGCCATCCTTCCCTTCATCAAAATAATGGAGTGCCAGCCTGACACCGTCGTCTTTGACATCCTCGTCCCGACGTCCCCTTCATGTCTCTGCTGGTCACTCCCCAGTCTCTCCAGCTGCCCTCGCCTCTCTGCTCGCCTTACTCCTGCTGCGTCCAAGCATGTCCTTGTTTCACAGTTCGTATACGGGCGCCACGTGACCGAGCCGTGTGCAGCCTCTTATTGAACGTCCCAGCTTGGCTTGTTTTCTTAGCATTTCCATCTCAACCGCTGGAGTTGGACCAGCAGACGAGTCCAAGTAGGACGAAGACACCGACGTTCTCGTCTCTGCCTCTCCTTTTCTCCCCGCTCGCGAGATGTGAATGATATCTAACACTCGCTCATAATCACGACGTGGAAGACGACGATCCCCTTCAATAGAGCGGTAAGCCTCTTCCCCTGTCCGGCTTATTATGGCTTTTGCGTACCCACCGGCGCAAGACCACCTGCACTGACACGTAAAATCGGATTATTAACAGAAAGTCCTCTTCCTGTCGTCACGAAAGGGGAAACAAAACGGTCCCTTACCCAAGCATATATCGATGATGTCCCTCCGCACGCGGCTCCGGTTAGCCGTATCCGCCGGGATAGTGTTGATATTACTGTTCTACCTGTCAAACAATAAGTGGACGGTGCCTGCGCTGGGTTACCATAAGACGCCTGTCCATGCGCCGTCAAAACCCGTCGAGAACAGCCCACAACTCCATGCTTCCTTCTGGAGCGCATTTCAGCCTGTGTTAGAACGATATGCACCTACCTGCCAGCCTCCGAAGAAAGAGGGTAGAGCCGATACGAGTGAGATCGGCTTCCATCCTGAACGGAACGACCAGAAACGGCCAGATCACATTAGGATGCCCGCAGCTGACGTTCTGTCGATGAAGAAACTCCATACCGATTTCGTTGTCGAGGCCGACAGTGGTCGTCATCGGCCTTATTATGCCCCGGGTACTCGTGGTCTGGTGTCTACAGCAGGAGGTCCATATCTCCCTGTTCTGACGGTTTCCCTCCGCATGCTTCGAAATAGGGGCTGCTCCCTACCGATGGAAGTCTTCCTGGCCACAAACGCCGAGTTCGAACCATATATCTGCAACCAGGTCTTTCCTGCATTGCAAGCTAAATGTGTCGTCCTTGAGAACATGCTCAAAACTGCACCCAAGGGCATCTCGATCTCCAATTACCAATACAAAGTATTTGCGATGCTCTTTTCATCATTCGAGGAGCTTCTTTTTCTTGATGCAGATGCCTTCCCTCTTCATGACCCTAATGAACTATTCCACAAGGAACCTTTCTCTTCTGGAAAGATGGTTCTTTTCCCTGACTTCTGGGCCTCAAGCGCAGCACAACAATATTACACCATTGCTTCATTACCAGCTCCCAACATGAACAAGCGGGCTTCGACTGAATCTGGAGAAATTATGCTTTCAAAGAAGCACCATGCAAAGACATTGCTACTTGCCGCATACTACAACCTTTATGGCCCCCAATACTTTTATCCGCTTCTCTCTCAAGGTGCCGCAGGAGAAGGAGATAAAGAGACCTTCCTTGCTGCAGCTACAGTTGTTGAGGATGACTTCTACCAAGTCAGTGAGCGACTACGTGCTATTGGACACGACTCACCAGCTGGGTTGGCCGGTTCAGCCATGATTCAATTTGATCCAACGGAAGACTATGCTTTGACCCAAAAGGGACACTGGCGTGTCCTCAACGATTCTGTTGCTCCACCTCCCAGGCCCTTCTTTGTCCATGTCAATGTTCCAAAGTTCAACCCTGCCACAATCTTTGGAAAGCACCCAATCGACCCCGTCCGAGACCACACGGGAAAGTTCATTCGACCTTGGAGCGTACCAGTGGAAACGATAAAACTAATGGGCGATGGTATTGAGAAACAGTTTTGGTCAGAGATGAAGTGGGTTGCCTGCGAACTGGAGAAGAAATTCAAATCCTGGGAGAAGCTTGAAGGTGTCTGTGATAACATGAAGAAGTACTGGAATGAGGTCTTTGAGAAGCAAAAGCCCAAGCAATAGGCAAAACGTGGCTCTTTTCAAACTTTCCCGCTCCGTTTTCGCTGTATTTGTCTTCTTTCTTTCTTTCTTTTAACAAAAACCCAAGCCAGCCAGCTATTGACTTTGTTTAGAAGTGATTCGACGATATGATTGATACCTGTATGTTTTGGGATGTGATCAATGAACTTTGTATATAGCTATTTCTTACCTGGAGTTGAGGAGAATCAGGTAGCTTCTATTGCTTCTTCCCTGTTACTCTTTTCTATTGTAAACAACTTTAAAACTTGCGAGCTATCCCAATTCTATATTCTATCCTACAAAAGCCGTTTATTTTGTGTTGTACAATTATTGAGCTACGGGTATGTCATCTCTCCCTTTATATCTCTCGTCCACAAATTCTACCTTCTCCAACATCTCTTCGAACATATCGCGACACCTTACCCTGCTACCAAGCCGAGCACAAAGTAAAAAGGCGCCACTCAATTTCCGATGCAAGCTGTAGGTTTCTTCAGGGGGAGGAGATAAGCGCTCGCGTAGCATAAGCGGGATAAACTCTCGAACTCGATCCGTGATAGTTTGATCCCTGAAATCATACACCTCGGGAGACGATTTCATAAATGGCTCAGCGATGGTTGTGATAGATGATACATGTGCGTTCACCATTGCCTTGGACTCAAACCCAGTGAGATAGCCTAATTCCTGTGAAAGCTCACGGCATTTTTCACGTTCGTTCCGGGATGCGGCAGCAAGCAATCTAACATACAAGGATATGAAAGCTGCGGGATAAGCACGGGATGCTCCAAAATCAAGGAGCTCGAGACGATTAGTAGCAGAGTTGTAGAGAAAATTGGTCCAGTTCGGGTCAGTTTGCATGTACCTAAATTCGCCAATTTCTCGGAGACAAAGGCGCATGATTTGAGAGCCTATCCAGTCGCGTTGAGACTGGGTGAAAGAATGGACCCTGGTTACTGCAATTCCATCCAAACGTTCCATGGTAAGGACTTGTTTCCCAGAGGCATATGGTATAATTTCGGGTATGGTAAAAATGTCGGTATCATCCTTCAAGAGCTCCTTAAACTTACGACCGCATTCTGCTTCGCGGATATAATCGCATTCCCACGCAAGCTCGGTTCGGGCGTTTGCGATTGTTTTATCAAGATATAGCCCTTTGGGTAGCAGACGAGATGCAGTTAGAAGTATAGACAAGTTGTTTAGGTCCGAATCTATCGAATCCGCAACGCCGGGGTATTGAACCTTCACAGCAACACGTTGTCCTGTTTCCTTGAGGACAGCTCCGTGGACTTGTCCGATTGATGCAGCAGCCATAGGAACCTCATCAAAAGACTCGAACAAGTCTCGCCAATTCGGACCTAGATTATCCCTGAGTACCTGGTCCCTTTGGAACTGTGGCATGTAGTTCGCTCTGTCCTGTACACGCTGAAGTACGAGTTGAATCGATTCAGGCATCACTTTAGAATCTATGCGTACAGTTAGTGCTACTTCAATCTTAAAATTCCTCAAGCGGATGTCTACTTACCTTGAAGACTTAACATCTGTCCTAGCTTTAGAGCAGCTCCTCTCATTTTGGACAATTTAGCCACTAATCTTTCTATATTGGCAGGGCTAAGCAGCAAGGAGCCAGAGTCATCGCCTCCAGTAGCTCGACGGAAGCCCGCTCCGACAACACCCATTGCCATGGAGGTTGCTAGCCCACCATATTCCCATAGCCTTCCAATTCGAGAAGATGGGACTCTTGACTGGACCATTTGATAAGCATCTTGAGGCGCGACATTATTGGTATTAATGACATCACTCTGGACTTCTGCATTTCCCGCGCTATCCAGTTTTACACCTTCAGCCTGTGTCTTGGTTTCTAGGACAGCTTCAGGGCCAACAGTCTGTGGTTTTAACACCGGAATAGTCTCAGATTTTAAATTGACTTGCCCGGGTTTATGGATCTGGTTTTTGAAAAGGGATCTCGTCACTTTTCGGCTCCTAAATAGTTGTTGCATCATCTCGTCTGACATTTCATTTTCTTCATTGGTCGCAACATCTTCTTTCTGTTCCGAGTTTGGGCCCTCATCAGGCACAGTCGAAAAGCCTGCCTTTACGCCAACGCCTGGAGCTTCCGTAGATTCTATCTTGGTGCCCGTCGTCCCAGTGTTATCATCCACCTTCGAGGGCTCAGATCTGGATACCCCCCTTCCTCTTGCATTATTATAATCTGCTAGCGTAACTCCAGGCGTAGGGTCATCATCAAGCTTTCTTGCTAGGTCGGAAGCAGCTTGTACCGCAAGGCTAATCCGTTGAATCTGGGTTTTCGCTTCTTTGGTCAACGATGATGTTCGCGCATGACGGTCGAGGGCATGCCTCTGCAGCACTATGTGCTTTTTCGCAACGCCGCGGGACGCATTGAAAAACGAGATGGCGTCAAGAAGACGGCGCCCGGACATAGCAGAGACACAGATTATAGGTATATCACTCTTAATCGCATCATAAGCCAGCAGGGAAGTGGAGGGCGTTCCTGTATATCGGCCCGTGAAAATGTTGAAGTTGCTTGCTTGCATCTGATTGGCCAAGCCGGTGAGCTTCTGTCCCTTTTCTACCAGGAACGCCTCCGATAAGAGCAGGCGATAAGAAACATCTCCTCCTCCATCTTTCCTACAGTCACGTAGATGGCAAATTGTACAGTTCATTACCTTTACTGCTATATTGATCAAACTGCGCCAGTGACACCACAATGACAGTCAAAGAAATCAAGGGTAACTACCAGGAGGCCGCAAGGGGAACACGGCCCTCGTTCAGTGCATCCATCCCGATCATGACGACGAACCGGAAGACAACGAGAAATGCCACAGGGGATAAAGCTAAGGGTATTTCCATCATCTGCACAGTCAAAAATGGCCGGATTAGAGATAAGATCATTGGGCTAACCGTTGAGTATATAGTCCCCAGCTTTGAATCCATTCCGATCTCCCACTCTCTCCTACTCCTCTCGGATTCTGCGCTCCCTCTGGGCTCGTTCGCCTACTCCAGCGGCTTGGAATCATACATCGCTCACAACAAGCCTTTACCAGCACATGTAACGCCATTTACATCATTTAACCGCTTTCTTTCACTATCTCTTGCGTCCATTGCAAGTACTACGATACCCTATCTCCGCCGAGCGCATAGACAACCCGAAGAATTGGAGAGACTGGACAATGACCTCGATGCGTCAACGCCATGTACAGTCGCAAGAAGAGCAAGTGTTGCTCAAGGTCTCGCCATGTTGCAGGTATGGGAGCGTGCACTTAAATCATCTGCCATACAACGGATTCAAGAACACCAGCATGATAGCCAACATCACACAGTACGCGCGGTGGCGGTATTGGACCAGTTCTCGGAATCATTGAAAAATGTCGGTGTAGATGAAGAACATGATGAGGTTAATGGCACTGTTAATGGCCATTTTGCCCCGTTGTGGGCAGTGGTATGCTTGGCTCTGGACATTGACCTGGAACAAGCGGCATATGTGTTTATGCTCAACCATGCTAAGGCAGTTCTAAGTGCTGCAGTGAGAGCATCTGTTATGGGCCCTTATCAATCTCAAGGTGTGCTTGCGGGCAACGCACTTCAAAGGACCATTGCTGAGCTGCTGCAGAAAGAATGGTGGACTGAGCCTGAAGATGCAGGGCAGGTTGTCCCTATCATGGATCTGTGGATGGGAAGACATGAGTTATTATATAGCAGGATTTTCAACTCCTGACGGTTCTGCATGTACTTGGGCCAGGGCAAATCATTTGTATATATCAATGAATTATCGATGAATCAATGTTAACGGGAAAGTACGTGTTAAAACTACTTCTCGTTTTGACCGTAAATAGAGGCCATCGAGGTGAATACTCGGTGACTTCAGAATTAGTACATCATTGTACATCATACATGTAAACGTAGCATGAACGCAAAAGAAATGGCCTGCTGCCCAGCAGACCCCAAGGGCCAAAAACATCAAACACCCCGATCAGTGTAGGGGAAGACAAGGTAGAAAAACTCCACAACCACGTCCGACCAAACCAGATCAACGAATAAAAAACGGTGGGAACATTAAGAGACAAATAGTTTTCCCTTTGAGCGCCGAGTAGCTCCCCAGATACCTCTCACATGAAGCAAGAAGCCTTTCTTTAAGTCCAAAAAAGAATGCCAGGAGTAAAGGTGAAATAATGAGGGGCAGTTAACGGCCACAAAAAGGGGGGTAAACAATATAACAATACTGTACAGGAAACAGAAAGATGATGACGAATGATTTTAAAGGGTAATATGCATGTGGTCGTTGCTTCCAAAGGATTTGTTGCAATTCGGACATTTACGAGACCTGGAGGTCAATCGCTCTTCAACGCATTCCTTGCAGAAGACGTGGCCACAGGTCTTGATGACAGTATTCTTGAAATTCCGCCGGCAGACGGTGCAGAGGGCAAGAGTCTAAGACATTGCAATGGTTAGTATAAATAATGCAAAGTTTCTAGACAGGGTACTTACTCTTAACATCTCATATTCAGATGTGTTATTGCCCAAACCACGGCTTTTCCAGGACTCTAAACTCTTCTTAGTATCCGAAAGGGTGACCTTGAGGCCTTCGACCTCACTCTCCGCCTTTCGGCAGTTATTCGTAGCTGCTGTGAGCGTTGCATCTTTGGTCGCTAGCTGACCCTTTAATTCAGCCACTTGTGATTTCAACCCCTGGATAACAATGGTTGCTTCGTTGACTTGGTGCTGAGACGTTCGATACTGGTTCGTTAGACTAGTCAACGCTTCCTTTGTTTCACTTAGTTGTTTTTCAACATTTGAAACAAGTGTTCTCGTTGCCGCCTCGGCCTCCTTGAGTTGTGAAATGATATCAGAGCTCTTCATGTTTTGTAACCGAAGAGATCTAAGCTCCGCATCCCGAGATTCTTTGCTCTGCATAGCCGCAAAATACTTCTGGTCGGCTTTGGATTTCTCGGCCATCAGACGCTGTGCTCTTTCTTCAGCGGCAGCTGTATCAGCAATTTTTTGGGATGCTAACTTGGAGGATTTCCGGAAAGCCATCTGCATGGATGATAGTTCCATATTGAGCATCTCATACTGCTTTTCAAGGGTATCAAACTTAGTCCGTAGTTCTTCATGTGAGAGTTCGCTACTATTTGGTCGGGAATCCTTTACTCCATCGATTTGCAATTGCACTCTCTGAACCTCCTGCTCCAAGGATGTGATCCGGGATTCTTTGGCGTCTAACAACTCTTTTAATTGGGTGACTGAGTGCTTCTCCTGGTCTTCCACTGCCTTCCGCATCTGCTGATCTGCCAATAGCTCGTCTCGAGCATTCCGAATTCGAACAAGATTGAACTCTGTTTTCGCTAGCTGAGCTTCCTTTTCTCCAATTGTGGTTTGAGCCTCGTTTTCAATTTGAACTCGATATGCAGTCCGTTCGGCTTGTAGCTTCTCAGCTTCTTCACGTAGTTGAATATTGGTCGCTTCTAGATGATTGATCCGCTGAATGACATCTTCATGCTGAGATTTTAATTGTTTAAACAGGTCACAGTGAGCATAATCCTCGTCGGAAAGTTTTGAAAGCTAGTGCTGTTAGCAAGCAGGACCAATCATTGAACATGGAAAAATATGTACCTTAACGTGGAGTTCGGTTATCTGAGTCAACAGCTTGGAATTTTCCGCTTCGAGCCTTTCTAGTTGTTCCTTTTGCTTGTTGGATACTGCAAGCGTAGTGTTATACAGCATTTCCATCTCAGTGGCCTTTTCGGGGTTATCAGTCGTTCCATTTGTGGATGGCCCTTCATCTCGCTTTGTGGAAGAATCGCCTGACTTATGGGGTCCGAGAATATGCTGTTTTTCCAGTCTGGCAACAGTAAGGCTCTTGGCTCGATCTATTTTCTTCTCAGCTACCATATATCTCAACGATGCTGCCTCTAGACGTTCTTCAAGTTGTTGCTTTTCGGCAATCGCTTTCTCAATGGCAACATTAATAGCTTTTTCGTCTGCAAGCTTCTTTGCGAGTTGGGATTGCAAGCTGGTGATATCTGGAGTAGCTTTGGCTGCGTTGGAAAGAAGACGAGATATCGAGCCCTTAATTTCGCTGGCTCGGTCTTGTAAGTGTTTTTCGAACGATTCATGGCCGCTGAAAAGCAACGATGTCTGGAATGTGGGGTTCTCTGAGAAACGCGTTAGCCGACAAACCCTGGAAAGGGATATTCAAATTTTGGAAGTACCTTCTGAAGACTCGTCTACCGAAGAGGATATAACTTTGACTTCATCAATTAACTATTTTTGACACACTTAGTCGTCTGCATATCAACTATTGGTAGGTGGATGGAAATACCTGCTTAAGCCATGCATCAAGAACGCTGACGTGTTCTTCATTATACGCCATCTTCTTAGATAGATCCTTTATCCGAGATTCGAGTGTTGTTTTCTCGCGCTTATATTCTTGCATCTGCCTCCAGATTGCATCCTTCTGATATCGCTGTGTGAAAAATGAATAATGCGTCAGCACCTTTTGGCCGAAAAAAAAATACGCGAATGCAACGCTGTACGTGAGGACAAACACAGTCTCATCCATGGACATCGCATGAAGGTAACTCGACAGGGCCTTTCTCACCTCAAGATCATCGCGCCATGGCATATCGGTGTCTGGGTGCGCCTTTACTCCTCCATTAACAGTAGTGGCTTGTTTCTTCAACGGGGGAGCCGAATCACCAGGATCCTGCGTAGCAAGTCGCTTGCGGTCCTCCATTTTAACAACAAGGCCGGACTTGGGTAGGGACACCGTAGGGGATTCGAGAGCCGTCATGGGGTTGGACGGGGGCTGGGAAATGTGTGGCCACCGACAAGCAGCGAGAAGAGAAAATGAGGGTGAGCCAGCAAAACAGTTCCGCAGGATACCGAGAGCGACGAGAGAGAGACGGGGAGAATGGCTTCGCCAGATACCACGACGCTAACTGATAGAGCGGCTAGTTGTTATGGACAATGCAAAAGGACGAGCTAGACATCCTCAGTGAGGTTGAAATGTCCAGTTCAAGAAGAGAAAGGAGGATTTTCCCCGTCCCAGGCTAGTGCTCGTCTTGGCAATATATCACGTGATGGCATGGAGGTTTTGAAAAAGGCAGATAGAAGGAAAATTAGGTAGAAGGCGAAGTGGGAAAAAAAAAAAAAGAATTAATAAATAAGGGCTGGAAGAGAAACGCGAAGATCGAAAACACAGATGGAGCTGGCCCCGTAGAAGGAACGACAGCAATTAACGAGTGTTTGCGTAGGAATGAACGGAAGAGGGCTGCCGCAATGCCCTTGCTGTGTACAGGCCGCAGCCCTCCCATCTGTCTTTGTGCTTCCTAGCAGGCGCCGTAAAACATCTAGACGCCTCTGGTTGAGAGTCCTGAAAATCGCCCCTCAGCGAGCATGGCCATGGAGGGGTCTTTTTAGCATGGAGACCAGGAACCACCTTCGCCTTTTTTACTATTATTTGTTTTCTGTGGAGTCGCAAGGAAGAAAAAAAATGTGAAAAAGAAGAAAAAGAAAACATATTGGCATTCAGCCTAGAGATAAAAAGCTTATCGCATGATTAGATAAGCTTTACCCGTTCACTCAATTTATTGTGACTGCTCAACCCACCACACTTCGACATCGAACATCGACATCTTCGTCATACATCTACAGGGACAGCAGCCATCGTTGCAACAAGTCAGTTTCATTGAATAAGAGAAGACTAAAATCATGGCACAGCCACCAGCAGCCATGGCTGATACCACTACAGCACCCCAGAAGATGGCGAAGCGCAAACGAGCAGCCGAGGACGTGGCTGCAGAGGTGGTAGCAGATGCCGTGCGCGAGAAGAAGCCGCGAACATCGAGAAAGAGGGCGTCGACACCAGAAAATTCGGAATCAATAGAGATAGTTTCTGCGGTAGTGACGATGTCCGACCTGTGCCGTGACTTGCGCACTGGCAAAACTTCTAAGCGTGAAATGGAGCTGAGAACAATGGACTGGGCTGAGATTGCTCGAAAGAAGAAAGAGAGAGAAGAAAGGAAAAAAGCCGGTAGTTCTGGGAGCCAGTCTGCCAAGGGAAGTTCCATGGACACCCCGAAACCAGCTGAGAAGAAGATGCGCCCGTCGGCCGAAGTTACTGGTCCACAAATGAGAATCGTCAACGGAGAGATTGTGCTGGACACGTCCTCGCTACAAATTGATCGTCATGCGGACGCAGACAGGAATGCAGATGATATGGAGGAAGTCGAAGAAAATCCGCTCAGTCGGCGCATAAACGCTGCTTCTTTTGGGAAACGGACCAAGCTCGAGACCTGGGACGAGGCAGCGACGGATTTATTCTATAAGGGACTACGGATGTTTGGCACAGATTTCATGATGATCAGCAAGATGTTCCCCGGCCGAACGAGGCGGCATATTAAACTGAAATTTTCCAACGAGGAACGGCGTGAACCAGAACGAATCAAGAGGACATTGCTTGGTCCCAGGGAACCAGTTGATTTAGCAGCCTATTCGGAGATGACAAATACAGTCTATGACGATCCTAGAGCTATACAACGAGAACTAGATGAAGAGAAAAAGAGAATTGAAAATGAACATGCTGAAGAACAGATGGCGCGTGAGGAACAGCTCCGTAACCCTGGTGGGAAACCCGGCGACAAGGTATTGCCTAGTATTGAGGGTGAATCTAACGAAGCCCGGCGGCGACGGGAAAAGAAGAAGGCTGAACAGGCGAAGTTCGGAGGAGGAACGGAAGAGATTTTGGGCTCTATCGATGATTGATTTGGTTTGCACTTTTCTAATGATTCAACTTCTGATATGGTTCTGTAGCATATATTGAAACATGGATCTTTTCCCTAGTAAATAGTATTGTATTATCTTAGAGCTCTTTATGCGGTGCAGTGGCAGAATCCGACCTTTTTTTTTTTTTCNNATAATATTGTACAATCCATAAAATGCATAGTTTATCCAGTCGAGCTTAGCGACGCCTTGTACCTCCAAACCCAGTGCTTTCCCTTGTTGGTGAAGAAAATGAAGGCCCCGGAGCGGCATTATTGCTTCCAGACCTGAATGTATTATCTCCTCCTCTTCGTGAGCCTCTTCCCATTGCATACCCTGCAGCGGTACCGCCCAAAGCACCAGTCCAGAAACCTGGTCTCCACGATTGCCAGTCATCCTTTGCGAACCTGGGCTGCTGATAATCGTAAGGAGGCGGGGGGCCTGGAGGCCACCATCCGCCGCCACCACCTCCTCCTCCTCCACCACCACCTCCCGCGCCATTTCTTCCCCATCCTTGGCCTTGTATACCAGTACAGTATTGAAGGAGCTTAACAACAGCCATGAACAGGCCGAAAAACACAGCCATCCGGATAATAGTAGACCATATTGATTCATCGTACCCGTCTCTATCATGGGGGATATGGCCGTACCGTTTTTCCCCCATACTAGTAAGCAAGAGCCTATGCTCCACGCCGCAACTCCCCTTAAGAATCCATGGATCGTTGGAGTTCCGATAACCTTCGCAAATTACCTCTGTCCCTCCAAGCTTGAATTCGGGGGGAAGTTGTGCTGTGCAGGTCCATTGTACATCATTTTCATCATAGTCATACCCTTCGTTGGAACATCGGATGACGTCTGGTTTGTAGAGAGAGCATATTTCTTTAGATGGTCCAACACAGTTGAGCTGGGGTATCGCGGAGACTCGCCGGTGGGTAGTTTTGCGATTTGCGTGGAAAGTAAGAGTTTGGACGTCTGACAGAAGGACTGCGTTCCTTGAAGGGGACTTGTTATTGCCGTAAGAGGCTACAGGTTGGAGGAGGGCTGATAGCGCAATTAGACAAGTGACTGCGGCAAACATTGCCATTCATGCAGCTGAGCTGTGAAACAAGAAGTAAGTCTGTGAGAGGCCTTTTTCGCATCTGGGAAGTGATTCGTGGCTCATCAGGGGCCCATACAGTCCACTTTCACTAGCTATTTATATTCCATTTGTTTGCTGTCAAGGACAAGTGGCCTTCTCTGCAGGCAGAAACATAAATAACGTTGCATGACGAAGTGGGAAGGCCGCGCGCCAAGAGATAAGATCAATCTGATAAGAGCACAGACCATGGCATTCAACTTCCACATAAACGTGGATTTCACCCGCAAATAAAAACTGCGGAAGCAATAGCATAGTCTCCAGCACCGAAGCCCTGTGCGCCGTGCAAGACGGAAGAAAATGGGCGAGGCAAGGTGGAACACGTAGCTACAATGTCCAGTCTCGAAAGTAGGTCAATCTTTAAAGTATGATTGTGTTGATCCGTCTCATGAACTAATCGCCATTATTCCCTTGTTTTTTAGATGCCTCCTGCCCACCTCCGCAGCATTCGTGAGTTTGTCCGCTCGTTTTTATCAAGTCCATAGGTTAAACTTCTTGACCAGGCTGTCATTTACGCAAGGCCTACTGCTCGGCCAACTGTCTGTTGTCCTGCTGATAGGCGCGTTTATCAAGTTCTTCATATTCGGTGAAGCCCCTTCCTCGTCCTCAAGAGGCATATCGCAGCGAGCGGCACCTCGCAAACGATCATATTCTGCCAACAGTACACTATTTCGAGATGCAGCTTCAAGATCGCTAAAAGAATCGGCCTCATCAAACGTCTTGCGTCCCGTTCCCTCCTCGTCCACAAACACCAAGTCTATCCTCCGAAAAACTTACTACAATGCCATCCCTACCAATTTCCAGAAAAATGGTCGGCATCGTCTCCATCATTCTACTCATCAACCGGAATCGTTGGATTGGTTTAATGTTTTGATTGCTCAGTTGATCGCTCAGTACCGACAAACTGCATATTTACTGAAAGATTCCCCCACGTCATCAATTCTTGACTCTCTTACAGAGACACTAAACAACGTGGAAAAGAAACCATCATGGATTGACCGGATTAATGTTACAGACATTTCAATCGGCGAGGAGTTTCCTATCTTCAGCAACTGTCGTGTTATTGCCGTCGACGATCCAAATTCTGATGGGGGGAGGTTACAGGCGTTGATGGATGTTGATTTAAGCGACGACAACTTGTCACTCGCGATTGAGACTAACTTGCTACTGAATTATCCAAAACCCGCTTCCGCCGTCCTACCGGTTGCTTTATCAGTATCAGTTGTACGCTTTTCCGGAACCTTATGTATATCATTTGTTCCTAGCCCTGGAACAACATCAGAGAGCAGTCCCAACCCGCCGTCTCATTCAGAGGGCCAGAATGAACCCCGACCTGGGCAAGAAGATCCTGGAAGGCCCAGTAGCAAGGATGGAGTCCGGTCGGGAATACCCAAAACAAGCCTTGCATTTTCATTTCTACCTGACTACCGTTTAGACATTTCTGTTAGATCACTCATTGGGTCACGGAGCAGGCTCCAGGATGTCCCCAAGGTTGCGCAACTCGTTGAAGCACGAGTTCAGTCGTGGTTTGAGGACCGTGTAGTAGAACCCCGCGTGCAACTAGTTGCCTTACCAGGGATATGGCCACGGATGGGTCGTACTGGTGTTCGCGCGCAAGAAGAACATGATGCTGTCTCTGTCGACTCGGATGATCCCGAAGCGAAGGCTGCACAAAGTGGGTTCACTCCTGTTAATGCAAACCGTGATGGACCACAGACGTCCAGGGACCTAAATATGGACGGACTGAGGTATCGGCGGGGTAATGGAGGGGGTCAGTCTACGGCAGACAACTATGAAAACCTACCCCAAGGTGACGGTCACCCGGGGCCGACACCTGGTGAGCAGTTTAGGATACCCGGAGCATTGCCAGGCACATCTGCTATAGCATGACTATACCGACACGTTTATTGGAAATGATCAGTACAGAATGAAGTTACTATTTGAGTAATAAATATCAAGTGCATCTTATGTAGAGACGATACACCATCTTTTCCACTGCAGATTTGTATCTGAGCATTGAGATACCGGTGTACAAGACAGCGGCATTCAAGATTACACATGGGCAGCAACATAGCTCTGTCTGAACGAATTGTTATCAAGCGCTGGTTCGCGGTTCAAAGGCGTCCATTTCGGCTCATCCTGGAACAACCTCATCGCTTTGATATACTAGTCACAGAGCCATCAAGTCAAAATTATGGACTTATGAAGATAATAAGGAGCTAAATCACTTACATTGCTCTCTCCCGTCGTGAAGCGATGGTATATTCCGGCAGGCAAGATAAGTAGGTCCTCCTTCTCAACTTTAATCCGCACCCACTTGTCGTCTCTGCTGCGAACATCGAAATATCCTTCGCCATCCAGAATGTACCTAATCTCCTCATCTTCATGAAGGTGCTCATCGAAGAATGACTTCACTTTTTCCTCGTAGACTGCACCCATCTTCTCGGGAGAGACTGTTATCTCATCGCGGTTCTTATAACCCCGCTCCGAAGCCAGGGCGTTGACGTCGTCAACTGAAGGGCATTTCTTATATAGAACACCTATTCTAGCGAGGTAGTCTGTGTCAACAGCACGGCCTGAGTCATGAGGTGCGCGCTGGTCGCCCTATCGTGACGGGGTTGTCAGTCGTGATCGATGGTGCGGGATGGGAGAGCAAGCAGCAGATGGAAGTTATACCTCAGCGTCGTCGAACCAATACGCTCTCATCCTGAGTCTAGCCGATAGGTTTAGAGGGGCAGCAGGATAAGTTTTTAGGGCCCTATTAATGAGTGAGATGCTGACATGGCGATATCTTTTATCTACTTCCTTCAGCTCCTCCCTCGAGGGGTGGAAGTGATAAGATTGAGTCACGGCAATAATGATTGGTCCCTGCTGAAGCTTTCACAACTTTGGCTTGGCATAACTAAATTCTGTTCTTCCGGCAAAATTTATTTATATCAACGAAGCGGCTGGATGGTTATCCGATGATCGTTTTTATCAGAGCGAAAACGCGGTTCGCATACCGTTAAGCACTACAATGATCAGGGTGCGGGTGCTCGGGGCGTCTTCTCGCCTATGTATAATACCTCCAACCTATAGACCCCCTCGACGGAGTTTTGCGACAGTAGGAGAGAGCACTCGGTATGTTCTACATATCCTCCATTCGACACCGGTGTACTAATATAGCTTCTTTTCCTAAAGGCCTTATGATGTTATAGTCGTTGGAGGTGGACATGCTGGGTCTGAAGCATGCGCCGCTGCGGCTCGGTCCGGCGCAAGAACCGCCCTAGTAACGCCCTCCCGTTCAGACATTGGTGTGTGTTCATGCAATCCCAGTTTCGGTGGGATAGGAAAAGGGACGATGATCCGAGAAATCGATGCACTTGATGGAGTAGCTGGAAGGACAGTCGATAAAGCAGGAATCCAATTTCGAATACTTAACAGATCCAAGGGACCGGCAGTATGGGGCCCACGAGCCCAAATCGATCGCTCACTCTACAAGAAATATATGCTTGAAGAATTATCCAAAACACCTGGGCTTAACATTGTGGAGGGGAAGGTTGCCGATATAGTTATATCAAAGGAGAATATGACAAGCTTAAACGGGTCCCAGGGCGAGATTGTAGGTGTCAGATTGGAATCGGGGGAGATGATACCTACCCAGAAAGTGATAATCACGACGGGGACTTTCCTTGGGGGAGAGATACATATCGGATTGGATGTCTTCCCTTCAGGCCGCATGGGTGAAGCAGCTACATTTGGCCTAAGCAAGTCTCTGCGGGAGGCGGGCTTCCAACTCGGCCGTCTCAAGACGGGAACACCACCCAGATTAGACCGCAAGACTATTGATTTCAGCACGCTTGAAGTCCAGCCAGGCGATTCCCCTCCAAGCCCCTTCTCTTACCTCAACGATTCTGTGCAGATTGGGGATAAAGGTCAATTGAACTGCTGGGCAGCTCATACCAATGAAGCATCCCACGCAGTAGTGCGTGACAACTTGAACAAGTCCATTCATATCCGCGAAACTGTCAATGGCCCACGTTACTGTCCTTCTCTTGAGTCAAAGATCATTAGATTTAAAGACAAACCGAGACATATGATCTGGTTAGAGCCAGAAGGGCTTGCACCAAATGATGTGATTTACCCTAACGGGATTTCAATGACTATTCCAGCGGATGCTCAAGAAAAGATGCTGCGAACCGTTCGTGGCTTGGAAAATGTCACCATGCTTCAACCTGGCTATGGAGTGGAGTATGATTACGTTGATCCTAGATCATTGCGTCCTACCCTTGAAACCAAACTTATCGGCGGGCTGTATCTCGCGGGTCAGATAAATGGCACAACTGGCTATGAAGAGGCTGCTGCACAGGGTATCATTGCTGGAATCAACGCAGGCCTAGCTTCCCAGTTAAAACCCCCGATGACTCTTTCCCGTGCCGACGGTTTCATTGGCATTATGATAGACGATCTTATTACCAAGGGAGTTTCTGAACCGTACCGGATGTTTACCACTCGAAGTGAATACCGCATTTCGACACGTTCAGATAACGCAGATTTACGCCTAACAGCAAAGGGCCGGGCTGCTGGCGTTGTATCTGATAAGCGCTGGCGTCAATTCAACGAGACTAAAGAGCAGATGTCTTACCTACAGGCACTCCTTGAAAATACGAAATACCCATCTACTGTCTGGTCACGTAAAGGGTTCCCCGTCCGGACAGATTCTTCCGTCAGGTCTGCCTTTGAACTTTTGTCACATAATGGAGTTTCACTTGACGATGTTATCCCACATATCGAGTCTGCGCCCGGTACCATTCACTCCCTTTCTTCATTTTCTCCAGAAATTAAATCCCGAATGGCCATTGAAGGCCGATACGCGCCCTACACCAAACGGCAGGAAGCAACCGCTCTCTTATTTGAACGGGATGAGGGTATGCTACTCCCTCCGGACATTGATTACAGTACCATGCTCGGCTTGAGCACAGAGGAACGCCAGGTTTTAGAAAAGGTGCGGCCGGTGAGTATTGGTATGGCTCGACGTGTTGAAGGTGTGACTCCTGTGGGTGCTCTGAAGCTGCTCATGCATGTTCGCAAGTTGAGGTTGCTTGAACTTAGGAAGGACGAATCTGCTTGCAGTATTGCTGACCGGGACGCAAGCACGGCTATGGCCTCCTCGCTCTGATTGTACTATTGTTTCTATATACCCATGGACACATATATGTCCTCCCTTCTAGCGTGTCTTTTCAACCTACTTTGTATTATATTTCTCGGGGTGCATACTTTGGCATAGATGGTACGGTACATGGCGTTCTCATTGTACGATAACAGATATCAACCTAAATGATTTACGACGCTTCTTTCAGCCCTTTCTTGACAATGTACTAATAACCACGCTGTAATGATTTCTATATTCGATATACAGTCTCTCTATTCTAGCGGTGATTCAAGAATTCAGCATTTATTGCCCATTCCAGACATAGGATCTAGCAGTGATATCCATTGATGTCTGTCCCGTCCAACCAACAACTAAATCTTCGTCAACATCTCGAAGAATGACATGGATATGTTCGATGCTAGCAACGGTCTGCCATTTCTTCTTGTTCTTAAACCACATCACCTTTTCTTCCTTGATGTTATTTGGACAATTCCCGTTTACCTCTCTATGTCTCTCGACAATTCTCTGGGTGAATGTCCTGTCGACAAAATCTTCAATAAGCTTGCGTGACTCTGCAGTTGGGCCACCCTGACCGTCCTCTTCAACTGGGATCCGAGTCTTAAGCCAAACAACCAGATGGACGATGTTATGTTCGAGTCCGTATGGCCAGTCATTGCGGAGAATTTTATAATCAGCTGGATGAGCAAATGGAGTTTCGTCTTGGTATTCAAAGGCCAGGCCAGTGGGCGACTGAGTATTATTGGAGTCTTCAGCCTGTTCAGCTTGAGCCTTCTTTTTCCAGAGGAGGCGTTCCCGCAGTAGGAATTCAATGACCGAGTCGTTGTTGTTTCTTGTCTCTCTGACCCAGAGAATGTAGTTTCTGAGGTCTGATGGTGCCCGGTTCAAGACAGACATGTCTCCCTCGGCTTCAGCATGCCTTTGTGTCAGTGACTGAATACCCTATATAGAATATTGCTCGAAAGGAGCAACAGTGACAGAGCTGGCCTACCTATGACATCTTTTATTTCTTGCCAGGTATGTGGTATATATTCCTCGTCATTCTGACCCAACGATTCGATGTCTCCTTCTGTTAAGGGGAACGGCGAGAGCTCAATGTATTTCTGCACACTCAGCATACTGATATAACTAGGCAGAGAAGCTGACAGATAAAAGATATGCAAGATCGCTTCTATTTATTTCTCGGGCCTCTCTTCTATCGTCTGTTGATATCGATCAATAGAAATTTATTGTTTCCTAATTATACACCCCTCATTTACAGGATTTGAATGGGTTGACCACCAGTAGTTAGTTACTAGCTGCCCCTTAGTTTGCTACATTAAAGACCACACACTATAATTAAGATATAAAAGTGGTTAAGCAAGATAAAGGTAATAAATATAATAATAAATAATATACGTAAAAAAGATACCTCCAATAATTCTGGTGATGAAAAATGTTAAGGTAAAAAAATTGGACTGTCAGGGAATCGAACCCTGGACCACCCCCATGCTAAGGGGGTATTATACCACTAAACCAACAGCCCGGTCATGTAGTCACATGACTGGGTTCTTATGAAAAGGGGATCCCATGCGAGGGACGCAAGCTTAGCTGCTTATATGAGAAGTACAACATGAGCGAGAACGTTAGTTAGAAGCAGCCATGCAAGAGGCAGCTTTGTGATAGCTCAACAGCAGCTCGGAGGCCAGCTATTACTTGGTATATCCTACGAGGCTGCTGCCTGCAGCTCACTTGTTCCGTTAGCTGTTCAGTTTGCTTTACCGACACACCACCATGGACGTCTTCTCTGCGGTCTCCGGTTACATCTCTAAGATGGTTACCACTGGAGATACGGCCGGCACGAACTCCTCCTCGAAAATGAAGATACTGCTTCTTGATAGTGAGACCGTGGGAGACGCGACCCTTTTTTTTTCTTGAAGAAAATTGATCTAACTGGTTGTATAGTTACCTATCGTGTCGACAGCCATGACACAGTCTGCCCTCCTAAACCATGAAGTCTATCTTATTGACCGGCTTGACAACCAATCCCGCGAGCGCATGAGACATCTCAGATGTCTCTGCTTCGTCCGCCCTTCCCCCGACTCCATACAATTTCTCATCGACGAGCTACGAGCACCCAAATACGGAGAATACTATATCTATTTCAGCAATATTGTTCGCAAGTCATCGTTGGAAAGGCTGGCAGAGGCGGACGATCATGAGGTTGTGAAATCAGTACAAGAGCATTTTGCCGATTTCCTGGTGGTTAACCCGGACCTATGCCATCTTAACGTCGGTTTCCCTAGACAGCGGATCTGGAGCCACTCGCCTGACCTCTGGAATTCGGATGCCCTGCAGCGGACCACTGAGGGTGTAATTGCGCTATTATTGTCCCTGAAGAAGACTCCCTTAATACGATATGAGAAAAACAGTCTGATGGCAAAGAAACTTGCCACAGAAGTTAGGTACCAACTTACGCAGGAAGAACAACTATTCAATTTCAGGAAGCCAGATACACCCCCGATTTTACTTATCCTTGATCGCCGAGATGACCCCATAACCCCTCTATTGACCCGATGGACATATCAGGCCATGGTACATGAATTACTGGGAATTACCAATGGTCGAGTTGATCTTAGTGAGGTCCCAGATATTCGTCCAGAACTAAAAGAGATCGTTATTGCTCAGGACCAAGATCCCTTTTTTAAAAAGAATATGTACCAGAACTTTGGCGACCTTGGTGGTAATATCAAGGAATACGTCGAACAGTACCAGTCCAGGACAAAAACCAATATGAACATTGAATCTATCTCTGATATGAAACGGTTCGTTGAGGATTATCCGGAGTTTCGAAAGCTTTCTGGGAACGTGAGCAAGCATGTTGCTCTTGTGGGAGAGTTGAGTAGGAATATCGGAGAACATGACTTATTAAATGTCAGCGAGCTAGAACAAAGCTTAGCTTGCAACGATAATCATGCGAATGATCTCAAGGTTGGTGCTCTAGCTTGTGTTCTATTGTATCTTCTTCATGCAGACACACTTACTTTTCATCTGCTAGTCCCTTCAAAGATTTATCCAATCCCCTACCGTGACTGTGGAAAATAAATTACGCCTTGTTGCTCTTTACGCCATTCGTTACGAAAAGCAACCTTCAAATACACTTCCGGTTCTTCTTGACCTCCTCACCGCCGCCGGAAATGTACCTCCACATAAAATTAACATTATCCCTAAGCTCTTAGCATACCACCATTCCTTGCAAGCGCCCACAGTTGCTGGTGGGTTCTCAGACCTGTTCGAGTCAGCCTCCTTCTTAACCGGGGCTCGTGATCGATTCAAAGGGCTCAAGGGTGTAGAAAACGTATATACCCAGCATTCTCCACGCTTAGAGGCTACTCTTCAGAACCTGATAAAAGGCAGACTAAAGGAGCTTCAGTACCCTTTCCTCGAAGGTGGTGGGCACACCCGGGACAAACCACAAGATATAATAATATTTATGGTCGGAGGAGTGACCTATGAAGAAGCAAAGATGGTTGCCCAAGTCAACGCTAGCTCTCCTGGCATTCGGGTAGTCCTTGGTGGGACTTGCATTCACAACAGCACCACTTTCCTAGACGAAGTGGAAGATGCTGTAGGCAACTGGCCTGAACCTCCCCCAACAACAGCGGCGGGGCGATTACGAGCTGAAATTAACAGATAACTTGCATTGCTTTTAACTATCTGACGAACTTTTTTTATCGCTATAATGAAGAGTGTATATCGACGGTTCAAGGCGTTTATATAGGCAGATCTATCTCGTTTACCGCTTTATGCTTGCCCCAGGTGTCAAAAAAAGATGCCAAGAAATCTTAAAAGCTTGATTGAATTGAATGAAACACATGGAACATCAAACATCGTCATGCAGTCATCGGGAAGACCTCAAACTATTTCACACTCGACTTGTCTGCTGAGAAGTCGGCAATTGCACAGCTTACACTCTTAAACGATGGATTCACAAACTCATACATCGCCCGGCGTAACGACGCGGGACTCTGGGCTACGGCTGCCTTCCACTACAAACCCTCCTGGGCCCCAGAATCCTCCAAAGCAACTCGTATGGCTGGTAGGTAGACTCCGCAATATCTCGCATATTTTACGAAACTATGGATATGTTTGTCTGTCATATTTGATGCGTAATAACGCCTGGTATATAGATCTTTGGCGCCACAGGCCATATTGGCCGTTCAGTGGTGAAGTCGGCCCTCGGCCACAACGACCTCGTTGTAGCTGTTGGCCGTACATTCGAAATAACTCCCGAGAGCATGGGACGTCTTCAACAAGAAAATAAGAATTGTCTCGGTCTCCTGTGCGATGTTCGCACCAGAGAGACGGTCAAAGCAGCCATTGACCGCACAATTGCCCATTGGGGCCGAATAGACATTGTGGCCAACTGCTCTGGTTACGGTGTGATTGGGGCATGCGAGGATCAGGAGGAGTATGATATACGAAATCAATTTGAAACTAACTTCATGGACACGCTAAATATCGTGCAATTGGCCCTGCCGCATTTCCGTGAACGCGGAGCGGGGAGATATATCATTTTCAGCTCGACTTCAGGCGCGCTGGGCGTTCCTGGATTAGGGCCTTACTGCGCTTCGAAGTATGCAGTGGAAGGACTGATTGAGAGCATGTTATATGAAGTCGACTGTTTTAATATCAAGTGCACGCTTGTTCTGCCGGGCCACATACGTCGTGACGATAATGACTTGATACCCGGAATGCCTGAGAATGCATCGAATTACCTCACCTCGCCCTTGCCCGCCTTTGGACATTTCATGATAAAGCCGGCTAGTGAGCCGTACAGCGGAGTCACGGCTCCCGCGGCGCATGCGAGACGTATCTTGCAATGGCTGGGTGACAAACCGCCTACAAGTGCAGTGAAATCAGCAGAGCTTGTGTGGCAGCTGGGCCACTGTTCTTATCCGCCATTGAGGCTGCTACTGGGCACATATGCGGTAGAGAGCATCAGAGACAGGCTGAAATGTGTTACAGAGGAGATAGAGGATTGGAAGCATCTGAATTTTCCTTCAGCCGATCAGCCACCACAGGCAAACCCTTCCAAGACTGAAGGGGACTCGTCGATGAAAGAAGCAGACGATCAATTGGCATCTAATGATATTCAGGTAACGGATTAAAGAACAAACGCCTCGAGTTATCCGACATTCCCACGCCGGCCACCTTTTCCACTCCAGGATCTATCATAACCAACAGCCATGCCAGATCCTTTATGCTCCAACACCTACCCCCAACCGTGGAAATAATGTGACACCATTAAACATAAAACCACCGATTTATCCGTGTTGCGATATCTTAACTCCCTATTTATGCCACATTGCCTTGTGCATTTTTATCTTTGATCATTGTTATGAGCCTTTGCAAATGAGGGTTACTTCCTTTTGAAGCGTATGCCATGAGACATCTTGAGGAAATAGGCGAATACTTTATCAGCAACGTCGTCAATTTTGTCATAACGGGCTCCTAGGCGATATGCCGCTGCTGTACCAGATATCACAGCTACTTCGTGCAAATTCTGAAAAAAAGAAATGACATATTCATTAGCGGATATTCTGTGACGGAGCGTATAGGCTGTGCTTCATATTTTTTCCCCCTTGAAAGAGAAACATGGAAACTTACCGTGTAGGTCCAGGAGCCTGCATAGAAGGTATCATTTCTTCCGTTCAGAAACTTCATGGCTGGCACGAGCTTCGCAAAGTGTTGCCATCTATGGGAGAGCTGGTGCCACCACTTTTGCTCGATTATTTTTTCCTGATCGATAAGGTCTACCGTCCATACATGCTTCATTTTCTCGTCTATGAAGTGGCTTTGGAATATGTGGTCTTCGAACGGTGGCAAAGGGTCATCAGTACCGTTTGGGTTCCGGAACTGGTACTGGAATCGTGTGCAGTCGTATCCTACTTCCATCTTCTCTGGCCGTGCTTGGTACGAGAATGTAAAATAGGATGGTTGAAATCTGGATGCGGCGCCCTGTTCCCCCTTTGCAACTTTGATATGTTCTTTGTCTTCAAGCGTCTGGGCTTCACCGCGTATCTCGTCCCGGTAATGGACCTCGAACTTTCTCTGAAAGTAGGCATGGTCGGAATGGGTAATGGTCAGGTCCTTGCACCATTGGGTTGTCCCCAAGACCATCTTCTCCCGCCACGTTGCCAGATCGCCTAGTAGGTCCTTTGCCTGGTCTCCCGGAATGCAAAAGACGATCTTGTCATAAGATTCCGATAGGGTCCTGTTCTTAATGCCGCTATCTCCAATTCTGTGATCTGAATCGATCCGGCGGGTTTCCACTATGATACCTTTCTTGTTTCTCTGGAAAACCTTTACGACCTGGGTATTGAATCGGATATTGACCCCCTTATTACGGAGTCCTTCTGCCCAGTCCAGATAAAAACGACTCATATTTGGATATGCATATACGGAGTGGTCGAAGGGCACGAGTGTTGACATGTCATAGGAGCAGAATTTTATATCAGGGTCCTCGAAGAGGCCCTGGTAGAGCCCACATGGCACATCACGGCCCTGATTTCCCATGCCGAAGAAGATGGAGGTTGCGGGATAGATGATCTTGTTTCCAAAGTCCTTTGAGAAGCCGAAGATGCGCAAGAAGGCCTTTAGCGGGAGATGCCAGAGCAAGGAATACTGGCGGACTCTCGTGAGAAGTTCCCCGAATTTCCGTATCTCCTCCGCATGTTCCTGCACGACGGAGGTTGGAAAGACATTTGTCCAGAAGTTTTCTTTTCCCTTGCCAAACGCGAACTGCAGGGTGGTCTCCTGCGGCTCGTGTCCATATTCCCGGAAGAAGTTGTACGTGTGCCTGAATATCCCCGGGCCACCCTGGGCCCCGATATTGACCCAATCCGCACCGAATTTGGCCTTGTCGATGGCGATGGACTTTGCCTGTCCGCCTGGCACGTTGTCCTTTTCGAGCAAGGTCACTTCGAACTTGTCCGGTTCTTTCGCGAGGGTTGCGGCGCATGACTAGACAGCACACTTGGTTATTATTCATTCTCCTATTCTCCATATTTATTTTATTGTTCATTTTTATTTTTTTTGCCAGCAGAGGCAGCAGGTATGGCCATTAAACCTGGCCGGGCCTCGAAAACAAGGAGGCCCCAGAACGAGCGAAGAGACACTCACCATCCCGGCAGCACCTGCGCCTATCACCAGGACCTTCAGCCTGCGGTCCTCCTTCGAGGAATGTTTCGAGGCCATTCCCGACAGATAGTCCAACGCGCGAGAGCACAAGTTTGAACGTGAGAAAGATACGTATATAACTATGTCAGCCCTGTCTGCAGGCTTTATTTTTTTTAGCATCTGTCATTTGCTTCTGGTTGCTGCATGTCCCTCCCGAGGAGGCTACGGAAGAGGCTACGAGAGAGTCTAAAGTGGCAGTTTTTGCGCAAGCAGGCGGGCTTCGGGCCTAACCATGGTTCGCCTTCCAGCCGGCTCATGTTTTCCTGCCTGTAGATCGTGTGGGAAGGAGAGAATTCATGCAATATCAGCCAGTCTGGCGGGTGTAACTTCCCAGTTCTTGATAGACGTAATTTATGGCCGTATCGATAACGTATGGCGAATTCCCCCTTCTGCAGGTTGCCATCGGTATTTTATTGTAATTTTACTTCACGTGATGCTCACATGCCTCCCAGCTCCTGGAGATCTTCCTCCGCCAGGGGTTCTTCTCGGTCTTTGAACGAGCCGGGCAGAGGACAGAAACAACAAACACCGCGATCAGAAACAAGCAAAGGGACGAGGGCAGCGTCGCAAACGTGATGGCAAGAATTGTGATCGGAGCTTGTTACTGGTTGACCGTTTTCCTGAACCACTGAATCGGTGGACAGGTGAGTTCAGGCCCATGTGGATGCCACTCTTACCCCAGACCTCGTATCTTGGGACTGCATCGAATATCAACCGCGCTCGAGCAATAATATCCACCCGTTTCAGCCAATATCCAGCCAGTCTATTGAATTCCAAGAGTGCTGGAGCGAGAACGAGAGGAGGAGCAGCACCAGCAGCAGCATCTTTGCCTCCTTCTTGTTACTATTATTATCATTCTTGGGAGTCCAGGCCACTTCCGACATCTCGATCCGCGGTTAACTCCGAGGCGATTATACCGCGTTTAAGTCCTGAGGGAACACGTCCACGTCTTCCTCTGCTTGCCTGGTCCCACGGATCAGGTATCATGGACCATGACCTGCAGGCCGCGATTGACGCCTCGTTGAGAGACGCAGTAAGATCTCAGACGAGTTTACAGCGGCGTAAATCTTCGGTTGTTGATCTTACTGGGGATTCAGATGGGGACGCGTCGGCGGCGCGACGGGCTGGAAAAGCAGCAGAAGAGGAAGCAGGAGACGATGACTATGATGCAGAATTGAAGAGGGCTATTCAGTTGTCTCTGCAGTCGGGACGTGGTCCAGAGCATGAAACGATTGATGTTGACACCCTGGAGGCGGGAAAAGCCACAGCTACCCCTGAACCAAAGAGGGCGGCTTCAACATGGATAGCGGGCTTTGATAGGAAGAAAATGGAAGAAGAACGGCTTGCCAGGCTGGCGAAGAAGAGAAAGACAGGAGAAGATGGCTCTGCTTTAGCTTTACCAGCTGCAAGGCCGTTGAAGGCGTCAAGACGTGAGCCGCCATCTGGGACTTCTTCGTCTTCTGCCAAGATATCATCCATACCCCCAGCTACAGCTACGGTGGCGGCAAAGTCTGTTCCTGGAGTGCCATCTACAGAGCCAACTATACAGTTCCCAGAGGGTGCGGTGAAGAAGACCTGGGCGTTCCGGTGTGAGAGAAAGGATGACATCAAACTTGAAGAAGTGCTGCAGCCGTCTGACCTGGAGCTGGCGGTGCTTAGCTCGTTCCTGTGGGATATGGACTGGCTGTTGATGAAGTTTACCAACCCGAGTACGCGGTTTCTATTTATCATGGGAGCCAAGGGGGAGGAGAGGGTAAGCAAGCCAGCAGTCGAATTGACATTCCTGAGCACATTGGCTGATATTAACCAACTGTGCAGCGAACACAGCTGCTGCGGGAGACTGCATCGATGTCGAGGATACGGCTGTGTTTCCCGCCGATGGACGGGGAGGTGAACTGCATGCACTCCAAGCTGATGCTGCTTTTCCATGCCAACCACTTGCGCATTGTGATACCCAGCGCGAACTTGGACCCGTACGACTGGGGAGAGAAAGGCGGCGTGATGGAGAATGTAAGCAAAGCGAAGTCTATCTCTCTCTACCTTTTATTCCTACGGAGTATAGGATATAGAGTTGTCCCCCCCCCCCCCCCAGCTAACGGAACATTTGTTAATGTTAATCTTCTTTTTATTTTTACGATTTTAAGATGCTGTTCCTGATCGACCTGCCTCGCAAGGCCAACGAGACCATCGACGACACGACGCCATTCCGGGACGAGCTCGTTTACTTTCTTCGAGCGTCGACGTTGAACGAGAAGATCATAGACAAGATGCTCCAGTATGATTTTAGCAAGACGGCTAAATATGCTTTCGTGCATTCCATGTGGGTTCTTTTTCTTTTTATTTTCCTTCTTTTTTTTCCTTTTGCTTTGGGTGTTAAGCTACGTTGCTTAAATACCTTAACTTTTTTTTTTATTTTTTATTTTGATTTTGATTTTCTCCAGCACCTTAAATTCTGTTTCGAACTATTTTTGTGAACTCTAACTCTCTCGCTCTCTCTCGCTGGTGCTGGTGCTGGTGCTGGTGCTCTCTCTGACTCTGCAACCAAAAACGAGGAGCGAGGAGACTATATTTTAACTTAACTTGCGGTTGTTGACTTTTTTTATGATCCGCGACCAGAGGTGGTTCGCATATAGGCTCAGGCTCATACGAGCGCACTGGACACTGCGGGCTCGGCACGGCGGTTAAATCATTGGGTTTGGCGACGTCGCGGCCCTTGAAGCTGGACTACATTGTGCGTTGTCAACTGATGGGGAGGAAGGGAGAGCAAAAAGAGGCAGACTGAAAAGAAAAGAAAAAAAAAAAAATGGCGCGACTTGGGACTGACTTGATTGACGTGTCCTAGACATCCTCCGTGGGCTCGCTAACGGCGACATTCCTCCAGAATCTGTACTGGTCGGCGCAGGGTAAGTAAAATATGCTCTTGTTTTCCTTTGATATGCGCGTTTCTTTGCGGTTGGCAGGAAGA